CCTTCCTCCGGAGGAGAAGACGCCGCTCCAGCGGGCGCGGGAGGCTGGACGCGACGCCGCGCCCCAGCCGGGGGGGCCTCCCGGCCCGACCCTCCGCGGCCGCCTGCTCCCGGCGCCGGGAAAACGGTAGTCGGCTGGCCGCCATCCAGACATCCTAGGTTCCCCCTACCCCACCGTCCCCTCCTTCCTTCCCCTTTCCGGGCTCTCGCCTCCGCCGGGCACCCCTGCGCCCCCAGGCCGGTACAGCTCATCCAGTCTCTCGTCGCTTAAAAGCCGCGGCGGGGGGCTGGCGTGGGTTGGGTTCCAAGGCTTATAAAGCTTCGCCTTCCCCCGCTTCGAAGGGGGCTGGGGGCAGGTCTGCAGGGAGAAAGGCTGGGTGGGGTGAGGGAGGCCTGCCTCCAGGGGGCAGCGGGAGTTTGCAAGGGGCGCATCCCTGGAAGCTGCTTGAGGTCTGGGCCAGGTGTTGGGGTAACAGGTCTTGGGAGTCTGTGAAGCGGGCCACGGGGAGCCAGCCTGGCTGAGGAACAAGGTGGCTTTGTCACGAGGTGGAGAAGCCTGCAGGGGGCAGGGGCTGAGTGGCCCTTGCCACCCTGAACCCTGCGCGGGGTGGGGGTGGGGGAAGGCACCTGACCTGGGGAGTACTGGGTGTGGGTGGGTGTGTGTGGGTGTGGGTGTGTGTGCGGGTGTGTGGCAGGAATAGGATAAGGCTGCCCTCTGGTGCCTGGCTAGGGCACAGACCTGCCCCCAAAGTCCTCAGCCTCAGGCCTCAGCTCCCCAGGGACCTCCAGGCCTCCCCAGCCTGAGCCAGGTTGTTGGACAGTCTCCCCCCTGCTAGCTGCTAGGAATGTTCCAGGGCGCAGACTAGCCTGGGGTGGAGAAGGAAGGACCGCTGCCCAGGCTGGGGAGCTGCAGCCTGGGGATGTCCCCTCCATCCCGGGCTCCCTGATCTTACCACTCCAGTCCCCAGATGCCTCATCCCGTTAAGCTAAGCCCTCAGCAGCCAGTGGCTTTAGGAAGCAAAGCAGTTCCGGACCAAGCCAGATTGAGCCTGCTCAGTGAGGGAGGGGCAGCACCTCAGAGGGACCCCAAGAGTGTGAGGAGCAGGGCCATGCTTCGTCTGATGGGACCCTCGAGGTGGCAGGATCTCCCTTCTGTGTGCTTTCTAGTCCCTGAAGACAAAACCCAAATTCGACACGGGTGTCCCATCTGCTCCCTGCACCTCCCCTGCCCTCGCCTTTGTGCCCACTGCTCGGTCCCTTCCTCCTTTGCTTCACTGCTTCCGCTGGGACCTGCAGGAGGCAAAGGACAGGCTTCCCTGGCTGGGCTCTGGCAGAGCACTCAGCTAGCTTGTCCTGTCCTCCTGACCTCCTCGGGATTGTCAGGCCGGGCTGATAGGGACAGTTACAGTGTTACTGGGGGCGCCTGGAGCTGGGCGCTGAATATCCTGGAGACCAAGGCCAAGGGCTCCCCAGCCCTGGGAAAGGAGGCTCACACTCGGTCCCAGGGCTTGCAAATGAGTGTCATGCCCCCCTCCCCTCCCAGGCCCCCAGCCCTGTCTGAGCTGAGGCCTGTCCTGCCAGGGGGCCCGAGTGTGCAGGACGGAGTGGGCCGCCCTGGTGACCTGCTGCCCAGCCCAGACTGCCTACTGCGACTGCCAGGTGAGAAAGAAGCCAAGTGTCCTGGGGAGCCCAGTGCCTTTCGGGAGCCCAGTTAGGGCTGGGGATGGGACGGGAGCTGGGGAGGGGGAGGGAGAGAGGGAGGGGGAGGGGAGAGAGGGCCGAGCTGTAGAGAGAGCAGGGAGGGGGTGGCCTGGGAGTCTGGGCTTCCAGATTGGATCCAATGCCCACAGGTGATGGGGACGGCAGGGCCCACCCGGGTCTATGGCAGCTGTGGACCCCGGGGGTGGGCTGGGTGGCGTCTGCCCGCCCTGGAGTGACTGGTTATCCAGAGGACTTGGGCCCCAAGAGGAAGAATGGGGGCTCTGGTCTTTGGGGCGGGCAGGCGCAGTGCGCTTTGGAATGAGAATTAGCTGGAACAAAGGGGAGGCTGGAGTCCACCTTGAAGGGCTTTGTGCGGCAAACTCCCCGGGGCCAGGCGGGAGCGAGAGAGCGAGCCGCTGAGCCAGGGAGGGGACGAGAATGGTGAGGGAGGCGGCTGTCAGGGCTGGGGAAGGGCTATCCTGGCTGGGGGCCAGAGCAGCATGGGGGCTGGGGGCGAGTGGCCTCATGGGACTGGGAGGGACAACCTGACAGGCCTGGGACCGGCAGAAAAGCAGGCAACCTGGCCCCCTACCCCTGCAGCACCCCTTGCCCAACAGCTGTGCTCACACACGCAGACCCCGTAAAAGGATTTTGTTTGTTTTTATGTTTTAAATACACTTTTATATTGGAAAAGTTTTAGATTGACAGAAAGATTGCCAAGATTAGACCAGAGAGTTGTCCTGTACCCCGCCCACTCTTCTCCCTATTGTTCCCACTGGATATTCGTCAGGGGCATTTGTGGCAATAAATGAACCAAAACTGCTACATTGTTAACAAAAGTCCATACACTTTTCGGATGCCCTAGTTTTGACCATTGCCCTTTTTTGGTCCGGGATCCCATGTGACATTAAGTTCCTGTGCCTTCTTGGGCTCCTTTGGGCCATGGCAGTTTCTCAGAGGTTCCTTGTTTTTGGTGACATGGACAGTTTGAGGAGCACCATCAGATATTTTGTAGGCTGTCCCTCCATCGGAATTTGTCTGATGATTTTCTCACGGATTTTAGGAGAGGAAGACCTCGGAGGTGAAGTGCCCTTGTCATTCCGTCACACGTCCCGGGTGCGTGTTCTCAACGTGCCATCACCGCTGCGGCTGGCCTCGCACACCTGGCTGAGGGAGTGTTCGTCAGTGTCGGCCTCTGTAAAGCCACTCTCCCCGTCTCCATCTGTGCTCTTCGGGAGTCACTCACGTGAGGAGTGGGCAGTTCTGCCCGCCTCCTCCGGGGAGGGGGGTGGGTGGGGGAGTATCTACATACAGGATTTGGTATTCGTCACAGATTTCTCTCTTTTCCCACATGTATTTGTATATTCAGTCATTTCTTTATCTTAGCATGGACTCACAGGTGTTTAATTTATACTTGGAGTTATAGTCTAATACTGCTTTATTTTGTTGCTCTAATTGTTCCATCTTTGGCCTTTGGGAGCTCTTTGAATTGGCTTCTGTGCCTCTTTGACACAGTGTATGTGTGTGTGTTATTACTTCCTTTCCAGCCCTGTGAGATGCTACATGTGTGTACGCAGAACCTATACATAGACCAAGAGGCAGTCATTCGAACAGAGCAAGGGGATACTGTGTGGTTTAAAATCAAGAAAGGTGTGTGTCAGGGTTATATCCTTTCACCACACTTACTCAATCTGTATGCTGAGCAAATAATCTGAGAAGCTGGACTGTATGAAGAAGAACGAGGCATCAGGATTGGTGGGAGACTCATTAACCTGCGATATGCAGATGATACAACCTTGCTTGCTGAAAGTGAAGAGGACTTGAAACACTTACTGATGAAGATCAAAGACTACAGTCTTCAGTATGGATTACACCTCAACATAAAGAAAACAAAAATCCTCACAACTGGACCCATAAGCAACATCATGATAAACGGAGAAAAGATTGAAGTTGTCATGGATTTCATTTTACGTGGATCCACGATCAACACCCATGGAAGCAGCAGTCAAGAAATTAAAGCATGCATTGCACTGGGCAAATCTGCTGCAAAAGACCTCTTCAAAGTGTTCAAAAGCAAAGATGTCACTTTGAGGATTAAGGTGCGCCTGACCCAAGCCATGATATTTTCAGTCGCCTCATATGCATGCGAAAGCTGGACAATGAATAAGGAAGACAGAGTAAGAATTGATGGCTTTGAATTACAGTGTTGGCAAACAATATTGAATATACCACGGACTGCCAGAAGAACGAACAAGTCTGTCTTGGAAGAAACACAGCCAGAGTGCTCCTCGGAAGTGAGGATGGTGAGACTTTGGCTCACATAGTTTGGACATGTTATCAGGAGGGACCAGTCTCTGGAGAAGGACATCATGCTTGGTAAAGGAGAGGGTCAGTGAAAGAGAGGAAGACCTTCAATGAGATGGATTGACACAGTAGTTGCAACAGTGGGCTCAAGCATAGCAACGATTGTGAGGATGGCGCAGGACCGGGCAGTGTTGTGTTCTGTTGTACGTGGGGTCGCTATGAGTCGGAATCAGCTCGGCGGCACCTAACAGCAACAACAGCATGCTCCAGGCTCATCTTGTATATGTCCTGCCCCAGTCCTCTAATCAGCCATTTCTCCAAGGAGTCATTTATTGGGCA